AACCTGGGCCAAAGGATTTGATTCTCAGGAAAGGGCCAGAATCCCCCTTTGAGTGTTATATAACAATGTACTTAGGGCCGAAACACTGCTTGAAACGAGTTTTTTTCCCTCTGAAGATCTCTTGGGGGCCCAAGTGGTCGAGAGGTTACGGTGTTCGCCTCTGCATTCAATAAGTCCCGGGTTCGAATCCGGGCAGCGAGGGAAAATTTTCTTCTCTAACAATTTTCTCCGGTCACCTCTTTTCCTGCTCTCTAACAATTGTTCTGTCATCTGCTTTTGTCTCCACTTAAAAATATCCCCATCGCCTCACCTCCTTTGCCCTGTCCTCTGGGCTTCTGAAGTTGCGCACGTTAAAGATGGTGGTTCAAAATAGTTATAGGCTTCGGCCGCCACCGGGCATAATTCTAAATGTCCTACCAACTGGAATAATAATAATGATAATAATACTAATATTATGTTTAACGTGTCCCGAGTGCTCATATGACTGTATGTAGTTGTGAGCACCGTGAAACACTTACCTGAAGATCTCCCTCACCCCACTGCATATATTATCCCCACGACCCCTATACCCGACTTTTTTTTCCCTCCCCCTCACATACAATATATTAAAATTACATCACACTTCGAGAGATCAATGTCCATATCATACCGGCGTCTGTGGTTTAGATCTAGTTATTTAATTAGCTCGTTCACTGCCCGGCCCGAGATTGTCTAAAAGTAGAAGCCAATTCCTATGTTCCATACATTTATTAAAAACCATCCGATTCTTTGTGGCTTGATGTCCTTTTGTGTCTGTGGAAGGGCGGGAAAATGGGGAAGATGGTGATATATAATCTTTACCCCCGAACAAATAAACCCTTCACATCCTGCTACAAACCTGTTACACTCTTACACCTGCTCCATAGCTCAATTCTCGGGTCTGGCAGTGAAGTGGTTATTCTCTTATCCGCTGTCGCCCGCGGAAGACACCAGTACGAGTTTCATTATAAATCTCCATATATGGAGATTGTTTTAGTAGACGTTTTACGGCGCTTGATCGCAACTGCATATGAGCGCCAACGGGTGGATGTCAACAGACGAAGTCCTTATGGAGAATCAAACTTACTCTGCTCACCTCTCTAGCTTCAACAGCACCAAGTCGGCTTCGACTATCAAGGCACCCAGGAAATAGCGGACTATTAGAGAGTGGCAAACATACAAAAGAAGTAGAGGGAAAATGACGATAGTAAGGATAAGGAAAGACAAAGCAGCCTAGTTCCCTGTTGCAGTTCAGGCACAGTTATGAGCTTGACATTGATGAATCAGCCCATTTACAATTATAATATTAGATCTACAATTCTACTGTGCGTAAGAACTCGAGATGTCAATGCCCCCCACCCCCTTAATTTGGGAATGGCCTGAAGACACTTTAGTCAGTAGCACCGTTCTGGGGGGTTATAATATATTGGAGATTCAATTTTCGCTTTTCTCCGTCTGCCTGCTATTTCTTTCAGCCTGGGTTGGCCCTACATATTATAGCGTCGATGTAACTCAGCTCGTAATAAGATTTGAAGTGTGTTGAAGGGGTGCGTATAGGCCTACATTTACATAATTAAAGGCTAAATACATAGGCCTATTGTATTTCTGTAAAATTGCTGCCAAACACGACTCCCAAAAAACAGAACGTATGGATGGTTGATGGGTGCATTTGTGTGGTTTGCTCCATCCTTCCTTTCAAACAACTCTCATCTTTATCTCCTCCAGCTAATCCTCGGATCCTCCTCCTCCTCCTTTTTGTGTTTGTTACTACCTTGTAGGCTAACACTTCTAATCTTCGGTAGGCGTTCTTATTATAATATGACCTATTTGTCATTAGTGTTGCAAGTGTAATTAAACGCTCAATAAAAACAAAACGAAAAACAGAACTATAAGCTACATTCATAGGGTTGAAATATGTATAATAAGTCTATTGTTACGTCTAATTTGCAAGGGATTGGGGCTTTCAATTTATTTAGGAAACAAACTTCCCCCCAAAACTATGACGATGGACGCAAAGCCCATAGAGTCCCCCTTCTTCCTCTTCCGTTTCTTTTGGCGGAGAAGAACTTCAATGGAACAAAGGGCATGAGCTTCATAAAGCTTCTTTAGTTGAGTTCTTAACCGCCTACAACACCACGTCTGGTTCTAGTCACATGATTCTTTTAATGGAGGACAAATAGCATAGTTATTCTATAGTATCCTCCCATTTCATATTGATGTATTTTATTTATTGAAAAAATGTGATACCGCGATCCTATGACATATCCTATCATACATGATCTTTGAAATAAACTATTCTGTAAACTGTAAACAGAACAATAATAATAATCACTGAGTCTACTCATTGGTCAAAATGTCAGTATGCAGTATTGATTAATACAAATTGACGAACATTGTGCCACGCGGTGGCATAAAATTATTTACTGCACTTTCTACTCACAGAATGGTGTCCTTACGGACTCTGTCGACGTCGTTCCTGACACAATGGATTGGTGGTGAGTATTTGGGAGAACGTTTTCCTAGATTCATAAGTGATACGGTCATTTGTACAGTACCATTGACCACGTTTGGAGTTTTAGGATAACTTACAGATGAAAGATGTTTAGTGTTTTCTCATCATAGGACTCTTGGGAGTAGGATAAAGACAAAACTTTGAGGGGTTGGGGGGGGGAGACCTACTGTTCTTGAGCCAATGGACCTACCTAGCTTCCTGCTTACACATCGACTGACCGACCCAGCAGCCTCTTTCCATCTTGCTTACCTGCCAGCCTTCCTCAGTGCCTGCCTACCTACTTACTGACCTACCCACCCCCCTATCTACTCACATGCCTATTGTTTCAGCATCTTAGCTGCTTACACATACAACAGTATCCACTCAAACATACCTGTTATACATACATACACACAAGCAGTCCGCTTCCCAAAGAAGACGAAGACACATGGATAGGTATACTCGTGTCCGTGTACGTGGGGGGGGGGG